AATTGCAATTGCTTACATATATTCCTCATCACATAAGCTTAGCAGAAACAAGCTGCTGCTCTGAAATTCATCTGAGAAGTTTGTTCATACGGTGGATGTCCACAGCTCTGAGAAACAAGCTAGCTAAAGTTACCTCCTCTTTAGGAGGCAAGCTGCTCACTGCTTAAAGAAAGCAAAGACATGAGATGGTTGAATTTTTTGCATCTGCTCTTCATCTTATTTCTAGCTGCTAGTGGAAATGTGGTTACCAGGCTTCAAGTTCTAAATACAAAAATTAAATGACATATTTCCTTGGGATGTAACAACGGATTTTAAAACTTGCTCCATACATGCTATCCTCCCTGAGGGATAAACTGCTTTGACATTTGATAAGTACACAGCTGTTTCCAGCAGAAAACACAGAGATTTAGAGCAGCCTGGGCTCAGCTTTTGTAAAGGAAAAGAGCCATTGCTGAGGACCATGGGAGGAAATGTGCATCATCGCTGCACCACACAGCGAGACTGCATCCTGTGAAGGATGAGGGAAACACTCACCCTTCTCTTGAGAGAGATCTGGATCCTCCCTTGGTTGGTAATGAGTCTCAGAGGAGTAGTAACAGGATCCTGATCCCCATTGTCAGTGGCATCTGCCTCTATCCGAAGTGTCTGCCAGGTGAGCTCTTTGAATGTCAAAACCTACTCAGGCAGAGAAAAATAGGAAAATGCTGAGATTTTCATCAACGTCAAGGACTAAACTGCAGCTCTAGAAGATGAGGAATTAAGCAGGACCATGGAGAATCTTTTAACACACTTTTCTATGATCCTAGTACAAAAGTGAAGTCATTCCCCAAGTAACATCTCAGTCTCTCTCTCTTATACTGAAGATTTTAAAAACAACAAAACCACCCAGGCCTCCAGAGCTTCATTCTCTCGGACTAGAGGTGCCCAGAGAAACCTCTGGCCACAAACTGGCTCTCAACCACTGGGCACCAGGAAGCGGGAGGTGGCTTCACTGCAGCTCCCTGCAGACTCGGTATGAGACCTGGGTGAGTCCCCACTCCAGCCGACCCCTGGTGAAGCCCAGGGCTCTTCTCTGGGCACAGTGAGACGACACAAAAGGGTTTTTTTTACCTCTCCTCTCTGCGGGTCCGTGATGCGTGTGAGCCGCAGGTCGCTCTGTTGCCAGTTTGGGTTGACGCTGTAGCCCTGGAGCTGCCACAGCTCGAAAGAAGCATGAAAGGCCTTGGAGTGAATCTTGATGGTGATGGAATTGACCACGATAAACATCCCCTCCACGACCTTCTCAGCGAAGCCGTATTCACTGCAAAGAGAAGAATCCTCAAAAGCATCAATATCAGAACCACCTGGGGCTGAATCCAGAGAAACAAGAGCTTAACTGGTGAGAGCAGCCCCCGCGCCCCAGGACCGCGTCGGGAAGAAATCCCAGGGCTTGGGAATCTGACCTTTGACCTGCAGCAAGGGCAATGGGAGACTGTCCGTTGGGCGGCCGAGGCTCTTCGCACGTCCGCATCTCCACCTCCACTTTATCCAGGTACTGTCAAGGAAGAACACACGGGCGCTAACGGTAAGGCTAGGCCTCAAGCTCAGCCTAAAAGCCTTAGGCCTGGGACAACAGGGCAGGAATAAGCAAGCTCGGGAGCCTCATGAGATTCTGAGAGGCCTGTGTCAAAGCTCTTGCATGATCACTGAGGGGATCGTTGGGTAACCTGAATGCCCAGAAGTGGGGGAGAAACAACAAAAACCAGGCACGAGGCTGCCCTGGACTCTGCTGAGGGCTCAGGGCCATCCTGCAGTGAAATGTGGATCTCCTGGGACATCACTCATCTCCCCACAAGACTATCCTGAGAACTCCCCCTCTGCTGCGTTAAGTGCCCAGAGGCTTTAGGTCAAATGAAGATTCAGGCATGTACTTCATGGTTTCCCTTTGCAGAATTCTCTCGCATATGAGAGACTAACAAGAGGGAGAAAGAAAAGGAATAAAGAGAGGCAACATTACCAGGCAGATTGGGTGTGTTTTCAGTTTCGTCCACTGGATCTGAAACAACAAAGCTGAAGTTACAAGAGTTATCTTTACATTACACAGTTTTCAAAACAGTTATGGGAATTCTGCTCCGAGAAATAATCAGTGTAACAATTCATCATGTCTTGCTGAATATAGGTCAAACAGGCTCACACTGACAACTAAAAAGATATTCCAGCTGCTAGCCCTATAAAAATCCAGCTTAGTTTCCAGATCTCACATGCCATCACCAGCAGTAGATGTTCTGCAGATCAAATTCTGATTTTTCATATTCCTGTATGGGGAACTTTCTTGTTCTGAAGGAGTTTACAGTTTACAGGAGTTACAGGAGTATCCTATTGATACTGGAAGTCAGGTAACTCTTTTTAAGATTGTGCACAAACCTAAAGACACATTTTACTCTCTCACAGCAACACTTACTCTACAGTTCCCGTGGGAGGAAGAACAAATGTTTGTTACTAAATTAAGCAGATCTAACTAAAAAACACTCAGAGCAGATCAGATGAGTAAGGCTCATTTTTCATGTCACTTGGCAGAGCAGAACCATACTTCTTTCATAGCAAGTCTCTTCCATACACTACACTTAATGCAATGCATCTACAGTTAGCGTCAACTGAGATCAAACAATCTGGCACTTCATATCAACTGAAAAAAA